ATTGAAATGTTGGCAACAGCTTGACATTTCTTTCAAGTTGAGTATTCAGTGGTCAAATTGTCCATTAATTTTACATTCCAGGCCATAACAATCCCAGATTTATTTTCCCAGGAGATGTTACAATTTATATACCACCAAGTAAAATGAATTCTCTTGGGCTTCTCTCCTTTCTGCCTCTCTCCCAAGACCTCTGTTTGAGGAGAATTTCTGAGCATATTCTTTAGAAATGCCCTGTTATATTGCTCCTTAAATGCATTCTACACACCAATACCTTTAAGTGGCTTAGCTGATCTGAGTACCTAATATGTCTTGTGGGAAATGATACACAGGACAGAGGCGTTTTGAGGGAGGAGATGTGGTATAAGCTGGCTAGTTAGGAGGCGTTTGAGAGGGAGTGTAACAGAGTAGAGAGAGGGATGCTAGTTGGTCAGCGGAAATCACTGCATGCATGGTGGGAGAAAGTCAGCCCGGAAAAGGAATGCCAAGATGGGGTTGTTAACAATAAACTTCACCCTCTTTACAATTTTGCCTAGAATGAGTCTTTTCTGCTTCTGCTAACTTAATCGATAAGACTCAAGGAGTTTAACCACAGAACAGAGAGATGACCTCTATGCTTCCTTCTTAAAAAAAATATTGAAAACAACATTTTTACATCAGTGTTTCAATGGAAACTCTTCATAATTTAGTCTTTCATTTTTTCTTCTTCTGTTAGTTAATAGCTTAATTTCTTTTCCACTTTTTTTTCTGCCTGTATCATGCAGCCAGGGCGTGTTGTCTCCTGGTTATCAGGAGATGATGTCCTTTGTTTTTGTGCACTGGCACAAACTGTCTTCTCCAATTGGCCTTTGTTTTCTAGAGAGACTGACTTCTATTTACCAGAACTGACACAGTCTGACATTTAGGCCTGGATGCCACCTCTCAGAACCGATGAGATGATATTCTGGCTGATTAATTAGATATGTTTTATAACCTGCTGCAGGAAAAGCGACGTGAGAGCATTATTCATTAGTAGTATCAAGCCTGATATTTTTGCATGTTTTACTCCTCTCTTGCAATTAGGGAAGATGCCAATTTTGCTTTTTTTATGCTTTAAAAATGCCTGATGAAAATTTTAACACTAAAAGAAAAGGGAGCACTTAAAAGTAATACTCTAAAAATGAGTGTGGGTATAATCTGTTTATTAATACAGTTTTTTTAAAGGAATCTTTGTGCTTGTAAAAGCAGTAGCAATATACATATCTCTGTAAAAACAGACTCTTGTAGATGCATTTTAAACAAGTTAGTAAAATTTATATTAAAATATGCATACTATCAAGATACTTATTTTAGTAATAGAGTATGTTAATTGCTTTTCATATCACCTTATAGCATAGTTTACTTGTGATTATTTAAATCACAAATAGCTTTTCTTTCTTCTTTTTTTGAAAACATCTTTATGGGAGTATAATTGCTTTACAATGGTGTGTTAGTTTCTGCTTTATAACAAAGTGAATCAGTTATACATATACATATGTCCCCATACCTCTTCCCTCCTGCGTCTCCGTCCCTCCCACCCTCCCTATCCCACCCCTCTAGCTGGTCACAAAGCACTGAGCTGATCTCCCTGTGCTATGCGGCTGCTTCCCACTAGGTATCTATTTTACGTTTGGTAGTGTATATAAGTCCATGCCACTCCCTCACTTTGTCCCAGCTTACCCTTCCCCCTCCCTGTATCCTCAAGTCCATTCTCTAGTAGGTCAGTGTCTTTATTCTTGCCCCTACGCTCTTCATGACCATTTAAAATTTTTTTTTAGATTCCATATATATGTGTTAGCATACGGTATTTGTTTTTCTCTTTCTGACTTACTTCACTCTGTATGACACACTCTAGGTCCATCCACCTTACTACAAATAACTCAATTTCATTTCTTTTTATGGCTGAGTAATATTCCATGGTATATATGTGCCACATCTTCTTTAACCATTCATCTGTTGATGGACACTTAGGTTGCTTTCATGTCCTGGCTATTGTAAATAGAGCTGCAATGAACATTTTGGTACATGACTCTTTTTGAATTATGGTTTTCTCAGGGTATATGCCCAGTAGTGGGATTGCTGGGTCATATGGTAGTTCTATTTGTAGTTTTTAAACCAACCTCCATACTGTTCTCCATAGTGGCTGTATCAATTTACATTCCCACCAACAGGGCAAGAGGGTTCCCTTTTCTCCACACCCTCTCCAGCATTTATTGTTTCTAGATTTTTTGATGATGGCCATTCTGACTGGTGTGAGATGATATCGCATTGTAGTTTTGATTTGCATTTCTCTAATGATTAATGATGTTGAGCATTCTTTCATGTGTTTGTTGGCAATCTGTATATCTCCTTTGGAGAAATGTCTATTTAGGTTTTCTGCTCATTTTTGGATTGGGTTGTTTGTTTTTTGGATATTGAACTGCATGAGCTGCTTGTAAATTTTGGAGATTAATCCTTTGTCAATTGCTTCATTTGCAAATATTTTCTCCCATTCTGAGGGTTGTCTTTTCATCTTGTTTATGGTTTCCTTTGCTGTGCAAAAGCTTTTAAGTTTCATTAGGTCCCATTTGTTTATTTTTGTTTTTATTTCCAACAAATAGCTTTTCAACATTTTTTGTAATCTTTAAAACTGTGAGGAAGACGGAAGAATATTTTCATCATTTTTACAGGAGATAAAATGGCCCAGGGGGAAGTTGTTGGAGCTAAAAGCAAAACTAAGATACTCTGACTTTTGTCCCTGTCAACGAATGTTGGTGCATCTTATCTTCCTGACTCTGTAGATCCCATCTCTAAGTTCTGTCCGACTGTGCCACCTGGTTAATGATTGTCTTTTTATCCGTGTTGTTTCCATGGGTGACAATGACTGGGAGGCTTTACTGTGCTTTGTTGAGAGTTCACAGTTTGCCTTGAAGGGATGCCATATCATGTAGTGGTTAAGACTACAGATTCTGGAGCCAACTGCTGGACTTTATTTCAACCCCAGCTCCACCACTTAGCAGCTGTGTGAGTCTGGGAAGGAGGATCACTCTGGACCTCTGTTTTCATTGTAAACTTAAAGTAAGAAAAAGCCTATTTTGTGGGGATGTTGTGACAAATAATGAACATTTGTAAAGTATGAAGAAGAATGCCTGCAGAGATTGAGCACTTTCTATGCTGTATTATTATCATTATCACTTCAGAATTGCATTTTTCAAAGTGGATGTGACCTTTTTTTTTTTTTTTTTGCGGTACGCGGGCCTCTCACTGTTGTGGCCTCTCCCGTTGCGGAGCACAGGCTCCGGACGCGCAGGCTCAGCGGCCATGGCTCACGGGCCCAGCCGCTCCGCGGCATGTGGGATCTTCCCGGACCAGGGCACGAACCCGCGTTCCCTGCATCGGCAGGCAGACTCTCGACCACTGTGCCACCTGGGAAGCCTGGATGTGACTTTTTTTAACGTGCAGAGGGGACTCATTATGCCTATACTCCCCAAGTTCTGCTTGTGTCGTGCATATTTTTCTCTTAGAAAGTCCATCTCTATCTGAAAGAGTGTTCATTCTCTAGTCTCTAGTTTTAGTCTAAATTATAAACATGGTGTGTGGAACAGGGCACTGAACCGAGAGGCAGAAGACCTGGACTTAAGTCCCAGCTCAGTCATTAACCAGCTGTGACCTTGGGTCAGTCATGTCACCTCATCAGGCTCAGCTTCTTTTCTCCTCATGAGAAGGCTAAACTATACAACTTCCAAGTTTACTTCTAAAATCCCAATCCATGATTGAGGTACTTGGAGGTAAGTTCACCTTAACAAAAGTATTAGGCAAAGTTGTACTTATTCATCCCATATATTTAAAGGCTGTTGTTTGAAGGCTTTTATGACATAAGATAGAATTGGCAAGTGCTTGTACAGATTTTGAGGCAAGAAATATTCCAAGGCATTTTTAATGCAATGCATTTTTAATTTTAGGGTCCTCATACACCCTAAAGTAAAAGCTTTCATCAAATTAAAGAGATCAAACAGTGTATGATGAAGTACCTTGCATAAAATAGGTGACTTACCTTTTCTCGAAGTCTCTGCTTTGTAGAGGAACTCTTCAGCAGCTCGTGTAACCTCCAGTTTCAAGGTCACACTCTCAGGCATTGTCGTGAGAATGGAGGGGAGAGACGGAACTCCTTCCTCTTTTGTCTGTACACACTGGAAACATGTTCTGGCTTCCCCACACTTACTCCTTCAGCCCCTTGGGCTAGTGTCAGCATATACACTTGATCATTATAACAATGACCTAAAATAAGAAAAAAAATAATTGGAAAAGATCTTTCTCAGACTCTGATATAACTGACAACTGATGATTTCCTGTGATCCTCGTTTGCTTTTTTGTTTTGATTGACACACTAAGCCTCTGGAGCCTCTCTCCATCAGCCAGATGGGAACATTGTCCTCAGGATAATAGAAAAGAACATGGGTAAATAGGAATTTATCAAAAGGCAGGCTGTAGCGATGACCCAATATACTACAAACCAGCTTACCAAGCATAAGGGTGTGTGATTTACTTTACAGATATTTGCTTTGTAAGCTCTTTTACACTAAGAAGATGATTTAATTTTCAGTTCTTTGAGGAAGAGTTTCTTCCCTTGTTTCCTCCCAAGCCTAGGAATGCTGGGCTGGGTGGGTTAGGAGTTACAGTAGTGTGTAGTCTCGAACCCTGGTGATGGAAGGGCTGATTGTCCTTGGTACATTCAGATAAGGGTCCCCAGACGGTGTTCCCTCCTACAGGAAATCTCCAGAGGCTCCCAGCAACTACAGAGACAATGGGGAAGGCTCAGGTTGAGGTCCTTGACTTAAAGAGCAAAGACCCTCAATAATGCAAGAAAAGGATGTTGGAAAAGGGGGCTCTCTGGTCTGAGTCTGTTTCCTCACTGAGCAACAGCATGAAGGATATAGAGTGATGTCACTTAGGATCTGCCTGGCCCATAACATTCTTCTTTGGTGTCTATTTCTGCCTGTTTGTAGGGCCAAGGAGATCTGTTGAAGAATGCCAAGAATGAAGCTATAGAGAACATGAAGCAGATCCAGCTGGCGTGCTTGTCTTGTGGCCTTAGTAAAGCCCCCAGCAGTGGTGCCGAGGCCAAGAGCAAGCGCAGCCTGGAGGCCATAGAGGAGAAGGAGAGCAGCGAGGACAATGGGAAGCTGTGACCCTGAGTGGCAGCCACGCCTTCACCCAGGCTTCCTGCCAAGGACTCTGGTTTTTCCTTCTGGTTTTCTTTCTTTAAGCTTTTTAGAAGTTCACAGAAAGATGCCCTCTCTGGGGTATTGGACATAAACAGATATTTTCACAATTTCAGTATTTTAACATAGTTAATTTATCTAAGTTAAAACCTTTAGTAGCAGTGTTTTAAAATTCTGAGATGTGTGTACACACTCACGTATGGATGTGGGCGGAAGTGTGTGTATGTGTGTGTGTGTGTGAGAGAGCGAGAGACAGAGATAGAGAGAGAGAGACAGAGAGGGAGAGAGAGAGAGAGCAAAAGAGAAAGGCTGAGGGAGGTGGGGACGGGAGAGAGAGATTGAGATGCTGTTAAAATCTATTCTGTGTTGCATTATTCATTTAGTAACTTATTACTTTATCATTTTGGGACAAATTTGTTAATCTGAAATTCTAAAGAGCACTTCACTATAACCTGTTGCTGTGTTTAATTTTACTTCTCTACCTTTATCATTTAATTTGGAGATCGTAACACAGCTTATAATTGAAGGAAGCCAAATTTATCATGCATAGATGTTTTAATAGATTAAATATAGATTAGACAAATTCCTAAGAATCACAGTAGAAATAAAAGTGAATGAAGGATAAACAAATGATCAGAATTTCTGGGAAGATCGGCAAAGTCTTCAGTTAGTGAACTCTTTAAAAATATTTATTAAATAAAATCAATTTTTAGAAAGTTTTCTGTAGTTGTTTACTTTTCAATGGAAAAGCTGATCTGAAGTGAACTTATACCCACTTATGTGGTACTCTGAAACACCATGAAAATTCTGTTGAAATTAGGATTTTGATGTGACAACGATATTCAGTTATGAAATTTCAAGGTTGTGATTTATAGGAAGGTCTCATTCTTCCTAACTGCGAATCTTAGCATTCATTTTCTATAACACACATGGGCAGCTAGGAGGTCTTGACTTTCATTGCATTTAATTGAGCACTAAATTTAAATTTAAAGACATTGTTCAAACAATATCATATCATCACCTTGAGCTGATATAAATTCTGTGGGTCAGATAACATTGTGATGATTTAAGGACTAACCAATTACAAAGTATCTATGATATAATTTTAACACATGCAGAAAAACATACACACAAAAGAAGCAAATGACTAATTAGGGTACATTTATAATTGCATCCAGATCATTTTTACCCTAATATCTTCAGAAAGTACTTGAGTGTAATATGTTTGTTACCTCCAACAGAACTAAATGTTCTATGGTTATGAAAATATATCTATTTAAAACATTGCTTTTATTTTGAAAAGCTTCTTAATTAATTTGGTTAACAAATATGCTAATTTGGGGGAACCTAGGGAAGATCATTGTTGAAATTTTGCAAATATAAACATCTTCTATAGCAACTGTGTTAAGTTATTTCTGACTTCTTAACACTATTATGTTCATGTTGCACATTACTGAGAGAGTAAAGATATGAAACAACACTTTTATTGTTCTCTTTTATTGCGAATTAATTGAAAAAGGAATGATAATGAAAATGAGTTACTATATAAAAAATATCTTACAGGGTATGATATTTCCATGGACCAGATATGATGATATTTCTCCCTAGGTTTAAAACTGGGCGCTTGGGAAGACACATGAGCTCATTTGAAGGTAGGTTTCCAGTGGTACTACAATAGCCTGAAAAAATGTCTTTACCCTCCATTATACTTACCCTTCACAGTGGAAGGAATAGTGGAATGCAGATATCTAAGACCCTTATGATGAAAATGAGGTGATATAGACAGAAACAAAACCCTCCTTGCATTAGCCAGTTGGTTGGTTTCACCTGTGGACCTCTTCACCTCCCTGAGTACCATGTGGAGAAATTCATGTCTTTACAGAGAGGTGGGAAGAGAAGCTAAAGGGTGGCAAACTTTCAAAGAATATTCTTTCATGTCTTTACTTGAGGGTCAAATCCAATCCTTGAGAGTGGCTTCTCTAGTTTATTCCATTTATCCTGGGGCTGCACGCACACTTAGGCTCTAGTACCCAAATATTCTTGAGAACATGATATGATTCCACCTCATCTAATGCTGCTTCTGGTGTCAGCCACTCTCTGCTCCACTGCGCTGGGTATCCTTCGTAGGTAGGGATTGAGGTGTGGGGCAGAGAGGAGCTTTAGATTCTGAGAGTAGAGAAGTTGCCAGGGAAGAGGTCTTACCTCCTGATGGAATAGCAAAAACAAACATACAACCTTTTTTCATTATTATATTCTACAAGTGTCTGGTTTTTTTCCAAACTTGAACTTCTCTAGAAAAAGCCCCCTTCTCTCCACTTAGCTTTTGGTGATGCTAGGAAGGCAGAGTGGTAGATATTCATTCTATTTTTGTTTATTAATTTTTACATTATCCAGGGAATTTGAGGCGGTGATGGTAGGTATTATCACTGATATTTTGTAGGTGAGAAAGCCAAAGGCCACTGATATAGTAAGTGGAAGAACTGATTTTGAATTCTGGTCTGTCCAAATTTTGTGCAAGAGTATTTATTCAATGATTTTGATTTTTAATTTAATTCTCAAAACTTTAAACTAACTTATTAACTCTTTACAACCACAAATAAAAAAACTTCATCCTATTTTCTTATAATAAAATATTAATGATCAATATAAAAATGCGAAAATAGAAAAATATATAAAAAATAAAAATCTCCCGCTATTACATTTAGATTTACACCTCTTAGACCCTGTTTCGCATTTCTTTATACATATAAATGTGCTTTCATTTTTAACAAAAAATGAGATCATATTATATAAACTGCTTTGTGACAGGCTTTTTACAGCAATAAAAATACATCGTGGAGATCTTTTTATGTCAATAATATATATATGTACACTGGAGCTCTCAGCCTTTGAATTGAATCTAGTCGATAAATGACATATTTTATTTGGTCACTGAATTTTTTCAAAAAATTCTAAACAATAGACAACTTTTAAACATGAGGAGATTTCACATAAAAACTTCAATTTTCTACTTCTTTTAAAATATTAGGTATAGGGCTTCCCTGGTGGCGCAGTGGTCGAGAGTCCACCTGCCGATGCAGGGGATGTGGGTTCGTGCCCTGGTCTGGGAAGATCCCACATGCCGCAGAGCGGCTGGGCCCGTGAGCCATGGCCGCTGAGCCTGCGCGTCTGGAGCCTGTGCTCCGCAATGGGAGAGGCCACAGCAGTGAGAGGCCCGCATACAGCAATAAATAAATAAATAAATAAATAAAATATTAGGTATACTGACAACACTAGACCCTCCCCCACTTCTTACTTGGCATCAATTGATTTGAGTTGCCCTCTTCAAAAGGCGCATGTGCTATCCAGTTTGCCAAAGAGCCTCTTTACTCATTTATGTTACATCTTGCCCCTGTGGACATCTTAGGTGGTTATCCTTGATCCAAATCATTGTTTATAATTTTGACGTAGTGTCTTTCTATATGGATTATCATGACATATTTAACCCATCTCCTATTGCTAGACTTATATTTCCTAACTTCTTGTTATATAAGCATTGCAGTGATGAAAATCCACTTTTGCAAAATTTCCATATCCCAAACTCTTTAGGATGAATTTCTAGAAGTGGAATAATTGGTCAAAGAATAGATATATTTTTTAGGGATTCTGTGATACATTGCCATATAGTCTCTGGAAAACTTGTCCAATTTAATTTCCTACCATAAGTTTATGAAAGTTCTGAAATCTTGGCTAATACTAAATTTAATTTTTTTTATTTTCATCTTTGCCAATCTACTAGGTTAAATTTCTTATTTATCTTTATTCTCTAGTGAGATTGAACACATGTTAGTATGTTCATTGACTATAAATAATCTCATAGAGATTGACTTTGTTTTCTGATCATTTTTGGGTGGGGTGGTAAATTTTTATCTTTTATTATTTATTTTTAAGAGTCATTTACTTAAGAATCTTAACGCTGTGTTTTTCATGTGTGTTGCTAATGTCTTTTGATGTATAGATCCCTAATTTAGTCCAAGTTATTTTTTTTTTCCCTTTATGGTTAGTGTTAAGACATCTTTGCCCTGGATGTTCATGAAGATATTCTCTTATATTACCTGCTAGTAGCTTTTTTTTTACTTTTCACATTTAACTTTACAAGTCCCCTAAAATTGATTTTTGTGTATAGCATAAGGTATAGTCCCAATTCCATCTTTTCCCAGCATGGATAATCAGCCCAGTCCATTTATTGTAAAGACTGTCCTTTGTCCAAGACTCTACAGTGCCACCCTTGTGAAAAATGAAGCACCAATGTATGTGTGTGTGTCTCTTTATGGAATCTCTATTCAGTTCCATTGGTCTATGTCTGTCCTGGCAATATTACTGTACTGTCTTCATTGCTATAGTTTTATAATTATTATTATTTTTTTACATCTTTATTGGAGTATAATTGCTTTACAATGGTGTGTTAGTTTCTGCTTTAAAACAAAGTGAATCAGTTATACATATACATATGTTCCCATATCTCTTCCCTCTTGCATCTCCCTCCCTCCCACACTCCCTATCCCACTCCACTAGGTGGTCACAAAACACCGAGCAGATCTCCCTGTGCTATGTGGCTGCTTCCCACTAGCTATTTTATGTTTGGTAGTGTATATATGTCCATGTCACTCTCTCACTTTGTCACAACTTACCCTTACCCCTCCCCATATCCTCAAGTCCATTCTCTAGTAGGTCTGTGTCTTTATTCACGTCTTACCCCTAGGTTCTTCATGACATTTTTTTCCCTTAGATTCTATATATATGTGTTAGCATATGGTATTTGTCTTTCTCTTTCTGACTTAACTTCACTCTGTATGCCAGACTCTAGGTCCATCCACCTCACTACAAATAACTCGATTTCGTTTCTTTTTATGGCTGAGTAATATTCCATTGTATATATGTGCCACATCTTCTTTATCCATTCATCCAATGATGGACACTTAGGTTGTTTCCATCTCCGGGCTATTGTAAATAGAGCTGCAATGAACATTTTGGTACATGACTCTTTTTGAATTATGGTTTTCTCAGGATATATGCCCAGTAGTGGGATTGCTGTGTCACATGGTAGTTCTATTTGTAGTTTTTTAAGGAACCTCCATACTGTTCTCCATAGTGGCTGTACCAATTCACATTCCCACCAACAGTGCAAGAGGGTTCCCTTTTCTCCACACGCTCTCCAGCATTTATAGTTTGTAGATTTTTTGATAATGGTCATTCTGACAGCTGTGAGATGATATCTCACTGTAGTTTTGATTTGCATTTCTCTAATGATTAATGATGTTGAGCATTCTTTCATGTGTTTGCTGGCAGTCTGTATATCTTCTTTGGAGAAACGTCTATTTAGGTCTTCTGCCCATTTTTGGATTGGGTTGTTTGTTTTTTTGTTATTGAGCTGCATGAGCTACTTGTAAATTTTGGAGATTAATACTTTGTCAGTTGCTTCATTTGCAAATATTTTCTCCCATTCTGTGGGTTGTCTTTTGGTTTTGTTTATGGTTCCATTAGCTGTGCAAAAGCTTTTAAGTTTCATTAGGTCCCATTTGTTTATTTTTGTTTCCATTACTCTAGGAGGTGGGTCAAAAAGGATCTTGCTGTGATTTATGTCATAGAGTGTTCTGCCTATCTTTTCCTCTAAGAGTTTGATAGTTTCTGGCCTTACATTTTGGTCTTTAATCCATTTTGAGCTTATTTTTGTGGATGGTGTTAGGGAGTGCTCTAATCTCATACTTTTACATGTACCTGTCCAGATTTCCCAGCACCACTTATTAAAGAGGCTGTCCTTTCTCCACTGTACATTCCTGCCTCCTTTATCAAAGATGAGGTGACCATATGTGTGTGGGTTTATCTCTGGGCTTTCTAACCTGTTCCATTGATCTATATTTCTGTTTTTGTGCCAGTACCATACTGTCTTGATTACTGTAGCTTTGTAGTATAGTCTGAAGTCAGGGAGCCTGATTCCTCCAGCTCTGTTTTTCATTCTCAAGATTGCTTTGGCTATTCGGGGTCTTTTGTGTTTCCATACAAATTGTGAAATTTTTTGTTCTAGTTCTGTGAAAAATGCCAGTGGTAGTTTGATAGGGATTGCATTGAATCTGTAGATTGCTTTGAGTAGTATAGTCATTTTCACCATGTTGATTCTTCCAATCCAAGAACATGGTATATCTCTCCATCTATTTGCATCATCTTTAATTTCTTTCATCAGTGTCTTATAGTTTTCTGCATACAGGTCTTTTGTCTCCTTAGGTAGGTTTATTCCTAGATATTTTATTCTTTTTGTTGCAATGGTAAATGGGAGTGTTTTCTTGATTTCTCTTTCAGGTTTTTCATCATTAGTGTATAGGAATGCCAGAGATTTCTGAGCATTAATTTTTTATCCTGCTACTTTACCAAATTCATTGATTATCTCTAGTAGTTTTCTGGTGGCATCTTTAGGATTCTCTATGTATAGTATCATATCATCTG